GTACTGTATTCTAGCCTCTTTCTAGGTCACATTACCCATTAGCTTAGAAGCAGTGAGGCTTTTGTGATTTTCATACCCCCTTGTTTTTATTAACCCTCTCCCACTCCCACCTTTCCCCCAGTCATCCACTCTCTTTCTCATTTGAATGTTTTTCATCCTAGTATCTTCTCATCCCCACTTTCATATCCCACAGACTGGTGTAACTACAGGTGAGTTGCCCATATTCTAACAAATAACCACATATCCATAATAACCTCATACCTGTAATACCCCCTACCCACATTCTTTAAAGAGACTTAGTGCTTAAAAGGGGGGGCATAACAGAAGGAGGCGAGGGGCTAGCAGCAATAGGACAATAGTGTAGCTATCCTACTGCCTTCTTTCAAATGAGAGGCTAAGCTCAAGGACCATACAAAGCATGTTTAGAAAGACTGAAAGCCTAAAAATCGAGCACGAGGAGCAGAGGATGAAGACAACTCAGTCGTCTCGGTCTTTTGCTGAACGCAGGGTGCTGTCTGGCCTCTAAGTGCCATCCATGCTAAGCTTCTGAAGGTAGGGTTTCGTGGTAGGGGACCTGCCTAGCATGTGTGGGACTCTTGTCTTTCTTACAGGAGGAGGAAAGGGGAAGTGAAAAGAACAAAAGAGAAAAAGTGGGAGGCATGTTGGCTTGAAGCCAAGGTGACTTCTGGGAAAGTGAATTCCTTGACTATCCCCAACAACAGCGGCTCCTAACTTACTTGTAATTCCATCACCTCGTTACATATTTGTCTTTCAGCCTCATGACAACCCTGCACCTGCATCTACATGAAAGGAAGTCACATAGGTTCATTTCTCTACTCAGTGAGTATAAATTAACATGACTTTTATTGCAGGAACTTTATAGAAGACCATGAGACAACTTGCAATGCCTCAGGAACAAAAAATACCTCTTTTTAAAACAAGATTTGTGTGTGTGTGTTGTGTAAGTGTGTGTATGTGTGTTGTATGCTTGTATGTGTATGTATATTGTGTGTGTATGTGTGGGTGTCTGTGTGTGTGTTTTATGCTTATGTGTGTGTGTGAGTGTGTGTGTGTATGTGTATATGTGTGTATGTGTGTGAGTGTATCGTATGCTTGTGTGTAGGTATGCATGTATATGTATGTATATATGTATTTATGTGTGTATGTGTATGTATATGTGTTGTATGTTTGTGTATATGTGTGTGAGTGTGTGTGTATGTGTGTGTATTGTATGCTTGTGTGTGCACTTGCCTGTTAGGGCACCTGTGGAAGCCAGAAGTTGGTGACATTGAGAGTCTTCACTTTATTTGTCTTTTTTAAAAATTTTTTTAAAAAGAAATTCATATAGACAATGTACATATGGTTTTAAATCAAGCTGAAAAGTATGCTTGGAAGCAGTACTGAAATGGTCTTGGGAGAACACTGGAGCAGCTCTGGGCGATGACCCATGTGAGAGGTTTATATGAGGCTTGGCTAGATTTCTGTGAAGTGTATTTAGAAACAAGAGGCCACTTTGTGTCTGCTTAACTTTACTCCGCTCTTTGCAAATGAACGGTGCTGATCCAGATCACATTGAATTGGTCCTCATGGGCAGGACAGACAGACAACGGTAAAAGCCACGGCAAGCCTAACCCTGCCTTCATCCTTCCTGCCATTAGAGTCCAATACATGATAGAGAGGGAGGAGAGGGAGTGTGCCTTGGTGTCTGGAATCACTCATGTGCTGTGAACAGATCTCACAGAGTTCTACTGAATGGAACCGTTACTCAGATCTGAAAAGAGGGCATGCTGTTTAGCTTCTGTGACTAACACCTCAGTACAGCGAAGAGGAAGAACCATTAAACAGCATGAAGAGGAAACAGAAAACAAAGCAAGGCTCCAGCCAGACAAGCATGCTTCATCCTACAGGGCACAAAAGGTTGTAGCCTTAGAGAAAGGCTCTGCCCCATCAAAGGAGAGACTTAGCTTTCATCAGAATTTTCTCTGGCCTAAAGGTCAGTCTGGCGGCCTAGTTTCTGCTCTTAAACAATCAACTAGACCTACCTATGAGAGCAAGCATGCCCTTCACAAACTGTATTTCCAGCTCCTCCCAGTTTCCACCTTATCTGGGTTACTACCTTGGTTTCCACTTCAAGGTGCTAATGAGGCCTGACACTTTTCCCACCTTGGCAATCCTGGGGATTTAGGACCTAGGATCTCAAGCAAGCTAGGCAAGGGCTCTCTCTGCCTGCCACTGAGCCACAGCCCCAGCTAGCACTTGATCTTTAATATGCTAAGTAGAGGAGAAGTTTAAAATCACTCTTCTGATAAATTAGTTAAGAGCTATAATTGCTAACAGAAAGGCACACTTCTATATCTATTTGGCTAGAATTTCTAAACCTAACTAGTTGATTGGTTGTTTCTAGGTCATTTTCTGAAAAGGGAAAAAAACCTTTAGAATATTTTATAATATTGACTTGATAAATAAATAAAATAATTTGATAACAAGTTATAATGAGCAAAAAAGAAAATAAACACTGCATAAAATAGAACTGTAAATGAATCAAATAAAAGAATTTTTCTTTTTTTTTTTAGGTTTTTCGAGACAGGGTTTCTCTGTGTAGTCTTGGCTGTCCTGGAACTCACTCTATAGACCAGGCTGGCCTCGAACTCAGAAATCCACCTGTCTCTGCCTCCTAAGTGCTGGGATTAAAGACGTGCGCCACCACCATCCAGCTAGGGCTGAGAATTATAAGCTGAGGAAATGTTTTAATCAGTAGTAAAGCTATGTAAAGCTATTATGAAACTTTGGACTGATAAAAATTATTTTTTTCCTAAGATACATGTAAAAGTGTAGTAGAATTTTGATGTTGTCAACAAAATATATTAACATGAATATTTGTTTTAGTATACCCATCATAAGGCAAAATACATTTATGCAACAAACGATGTTTCCAATGCTTCTTGGCCAGCTGTGTGTTATTGAGAAAGCATTAAAAACATGCACAAAATCCCGACGAAGCCCTCAGCCGTTTTGAAGTAAGAGGATGGACAACATCCACTAAAGTAGACAGATAAGTACTGTTAGCCCACAACATCCACAGCCCACTTTTAATAAGTACCAGCTTATCCCCAACCACAATTGCACTCCGTTTGAAATGAAACCTCCACACCATCTACATTTTACCCACAGTGTTCAGTGTTGACTCTCTGAGTTAAAACAGAAGTATAACGGCATCACGCCATTTGAAAGGTGGCAATCACTCCTCAGTACCATCAGTTTCTCAATCAGCGTTCAAAGGCTTCAGTCTACCCAAATGAGAGGTGTGCTTTTTCCACTTTTCCCTTTGAAATAATTTCAAATTATTGAAAATTAGTAAAATAAAATGCTAGTAGAAGCTTTGGTACCATTTACCAGTTAACATCTTGCCACATTTCACTTTCTTAGTCTCTGACCTTTTTATACTTCCATGAACATACACAGATATGCACACATGCTTACACGCGTTCGTGCACGTGCGCACACGCTCGTAAACACACACACACACTCACACACACACACACACACACACATATATCTCCTTTCCTTTGAATCATGACAGAGTAAGTTGCAGACATTAAGCCACTTTATACCTAAATACTTCATTGTATGTTTCCTGGTAAGTACATTCTCTAAAAATAATCACATTGCAATTATTGAAATTAGGAGATTTAATTTTTCTATACAGCCAATAGGTTCTATTCAAATGTCTCTGACTTTTCACAGCATACTTTATGGCAGTCAGGAGCCAGTACAAGGTCACATGAGTTGTCTCACCTTGTGGCCAGCTTTGATTTAAGGAGTTCCTCAGTCCAACCCCATCCTCCTCCCTCCTCCCAGATGACAACATCTTTGAAGAGGACTGAGTTACTGCAGCATCCAGGTTCGCTGTCCTCCACCCCTTTAGGAGTTTGCTTTGCCTCAGTAGTGAAAGCCGTGTGATAAAGGTGAGTGATTCCAGCATTCCAGAATGTACTCCTTAATTGTGACCCATTATCATGAGTCTATAGTCACAATATATAGTTAATGTTAAACTTCAAGGCAAACTTTAAAATGGCAGTAGCCGCAGCCACGACGGTGCTTAGACAGCACTTGCTCTGTACACAATGCCATTTGTCCTTCATGGCAGCAGAGAAGGACAGTATGATGACCATCCCCATGTTCCCGCAGAGAAACCGAGGCAAAGAGAACTTGGTGCTACCACATTACTAGACTATGCAGCCTGCAGTCCCACCCCAGCAGTCTGGAACTGGGGAAGCTCTCGGCTCCTTCTCTCCTAGGTAACCTTATCCACTGCTTTATCAGCATCCTGCCTGGTCGGTGTCTTAGTTTGCTTTGTATTGCTGTGACATAACACCAAGACCAGAGCAACTTGGGGTGTAGAGACATAACCTCACCTTACAGTTTATTCATGGAGAGAAGCCAGGAACTGAAGCAGAGGTCATGGAAAGTTATTGCTTACTGGTTTACTCTTTATTTGGAGTTTAACCTGCTTTCTTATACAACCCAGAATGATCTGTTAATTATCAATCATTAATCAAGAAAACACCCCCACAGACTTGCCCACAGATTAATTTGATAGAAGAATTTTCTCAATTGGATATATCTCTTCCCAACTGACCATAGCTTGTGTCAATTTGACAAAAACAAAACACAGTGAGTACCTGGGATTTATGGTGAGATGTCTGTGGTTATGATACTATGATGTATGTGCTCATTCTTCCTCCCTGTTTCCTGACATTCAGCTTCTAAATTCTTTGGGGATCTATGGAGTAACGAGGTCCTTTTGTGTGCCGAGATGGCTGGTGTCTAAGGGCTCTTAGATGTGATTACAGTGAGGAAGGGTGGGTACTGGAAAGACTTAAGTATGATCAGGGAGTTGGAACTTTCGGTTCTAGGCCCCAGCCTCTTCCTTCACGGAAAGGAGAGGCACCACAGGCTAAGCTCTTACAGTGGCAGATTTGATCAACTGGGTCAATAAAAATCTAAAGAGGCCATAGAGATGACTACTTGAACAGGGTCCACTGCTGGGACTAGATGCCCTGAGTTCTGATCCTCAGCACTTACACAAAAAGCCAGGCATAGTAGTGCCCACCTGAACAAGACAGAGGTAGGAGGATGCTCAGACCTCACTGGTCAGCCAGTGTAACCAAACATCGAGTTCTAGGTTCAATAAGCGCCTGCCTTGAAAAATTAAGGGGGAGAGTGATAGAGGAAAATACCTGGGGTTACCTTCGGGCCTCTGTGGGCTTGCACATGCGCACGCACGCGCGCACACACACACAAATGCACATATAGGCACACAGGCACTGTTTGAAAAGCTTCCATGCAGCTAAATATATGAAGGCACAGAGAGCACAGAGAAGCTCTGTCTCTTTTCCCATATACCCTGTTTTATGTATCACATTCATCTGAGTCTTTGTCTGTGTTCTTTACAATAAACCAGTAAGCATAAGCTCTATGAGCCATGCTAGTAAATTAATCAAGTCCATGTAGGTGGTGATTGGATCCTGGTCTATAGCTAATGGTAGAAAGATGTATAATACCCTACTGTGTTCATTGGTATCTCAAATGGACCAGTCTCAAAAGGCACTTTACTTAAAAGAGACAACCTCTAGCTAGATAGTGTCAGAATTGCATAAAGATTATAGTTTCCCATAGGAAACGCTGTGAATTTTGGCAGATAGGAGTGGGTGTTCTATGTTGGCTGTAGAAACTTGGGTTCTGTTTTTCTTATTTTAAGTAGAGGTATAATGCCTTATTTAACTTCATAGACCTCATAAGCTATATCTGAGCTAAGTAGGGAAGGAAAACCCAGAGGAACAAGTTATCAACAGACAATAGTTCCCTGAAAGCAGGAAATGGCAAGGCCCATAATCATGTTTAAACAAATTAAATATTTACTCAGCTGACGGAAGTAAATATTTCATTTTTAATCATAAGTCACTTCAATCAATACTAAGCTACTATCCACCATTGGAGGGAAATTATGTGTTTGGGTGTGGGGGGAATCCATGAAAAAAGAGTCTTTGGGAACAAATAAAAAGTTTACATAAATCCTGAGAGGACTATTGAAGTCGGGAAAGTATAAGAAGAGGCGTGTTTCTTTGGTAGTGTAAGCTTTTGAGTGGGTTTGGAAAGCCGAGGAGCTATGTGGCATTAGGAGTGTCGTGATTGGAGTGAAAGTGCAGTCGTGAGGGACCCTCAGGCACAGGGTCTGCAGAGAGAGAGAGGAGCTGCCAGTTCATTGTAAAGAATACTTCAGCAAAAGCAAAGACATCAGCGTCACCCTCTATCTCAGAGCAAGCGATTAAGAACAACCACACTGGTTTTTGTTGTTGTTGTTGTTGTTTCCATTCGTACCCATCGCCAACTACCTGTTAGGAAAACATTGTCAGTCCAGGGAACGTATCTGTTCTGGCACTGTGTGTGTGTCGGGTGGTCCTCCGCATCGCTCTAAAAGCAAAGGGAGCCAGCAGAACGGCAGGAGCAACCGTTTCCTTCCAACAGGAATGTGCTCCTGGTTTCCACTAAGCGGTTAAGCTCTTGCTGACTCACTGTGACTACTCTAAGCTGCACCGGGCTAAAGCTCAGAAACTCGAGATAAAGAGACAAAGCCTAACATCGGCTCCTGAAAGGCGGGCTATGTGGCTCAGTCATACCTGGCTGTATCCTTAGTCATAGTGCTGAGGGTGCATGATGAGGGCCTACAAATGAACTCCGTGCTCTATGAGCAAGATCATTGAAGGGCGATTGTTAATATCCCAAACACCATAAATTATCCACACCCCCAGCACTGGTTTGATGTAGTGCATACATACATATTCTTACAGGAAAACTTTTAAAAGCTGGACTTGATGGGGCAAACCTGTAATCCCAGCTACCCAGGAGATGGATGCAGGAAGACCTGCTTGGTTAGGACTAACCTCAAGGCCAGCCTTTGGCAACTTAATGAGGTCCTAAATCAAAAGAGCTCAGGATGTAGTTCAGGGACAGAGAACTTGCCTAGCATGTGTTAGGTCCCAGGTTCAATTCCCAGTGCCATAAGCAAAACAAAACAAAAATTCTTAAAAAAAAAAAAGAAAGAAAGAAAGAAAGAAAGAAAGAAAGAAAGAAAGAAAGAAAGAAAGAAAGAAAAAGAAAACAAAGAGGGGAAAAAACAGCTGAAACTTGACAGGACTCACAGATGTCACTACTTAGCTACTTTAATTGCCTTTCTCATTATTCAGATGGTATAAAGATAAAGGAAATCCTTCTCCCTTTGACCTCGGAATGTTGACCGACATGAACTGACAACACATAGGCGATCAGGAGAAATGATACAGCAGTTTGCTAATGTGCTTGGGAGCGGTCGTGGGAGTGTGCCTCCACTGAGCCAATGACGTTCAGATGCTAGTGTGACTCCTCGCTGTCTCAGGAAGGCTCAGGGGTGTGATTCTCACTAACCCAGTGACGCTTGGATGGCTGTATACTCTTCTTCATACAGGAATAAAAATCTGGTGGAAATAGAGGCAATTTAGAGGGATAGTAAATGATTCTCAAGAAACTGGGTAGGCTTGGAGACAGAGATGAGATTATAAAGCGACTCTCTGGAATCTGAATGAGCCAGAAAGAGAGATGTTATCTTGGGACAGAGTCCACCCCTGTGTGGATGCACTTTGATAGACTATGAGCTTCCTTCATGAGAATGGATGGCAGTTGTGATCTTTTGTGGGTCTGGTCTTAATGCAGACTAAGTCCTTCCCTGTCCCTGTGGGAGAGCTGAGATAAAGAGGATGGGACTCAAGGGATCCTCTCTAAGACCACTCCTCCAACTTAGCATTCCAAAATGTACACTTTAGGGTACAAGTTTGTGAATCCCAACAATAGAAACATGAAGAAAGCATAGCATCCATAGCCCACGTGCTGACATGGAGTTGGAGGGCTTCTGTGAACATTCCATTACTCTGTAATTCAAGACAGAGTATTTCTCTTCTCCTCTAGGCAAGTTCTCTCATGCCCCTTGCCAGTCACGGTCTCCCCGTGAACGTTCTGAGTCTCATAAAACGATACCCCTCAACGTATAATTCTTTGACATGTTCATAAACAGTCTCAAGGCCAGGGTCTTTCTAACCTCTTGTTTCTTCTCTATCATAGGAAAGGGCTTCCTCAAATGCCCTCATGTGGAAGCTGCTTATGAAAAAACTGCAATGTCTTAAGACCTTTTCCTAGGAATTACATCAATTAACAGAAAGATTATCTTAAAAGGAACTAAATCATGCCTGAGCAGATTAATCTTTCAGTTTCGTGGCCTATTCAGCTCCAAACAGTGCTGATTATCTTCAAGATTACAGTCTCAACATATGAAATCGGGGAAGGACACGGAAAATATGTAACCTTTTATAACAGTCTGGTTCACACAGTTACTTTCCGCCTCTACGTCACTGCCTTGCTTTTCTATATTAGGCAGTTTTATACTCTGGTTTCCCAGATGATGAAATAGTGATCCAGAAAAGTTCTAACTCATCCAAGGCATCTTCATTGCTGACTCTAATAGATAAAGAAACAAACAAAGAACAACAACAACAACAACAACAACACACTATCCACAGGACCAGACAAAGTGAGCTAGCCGTCACATTATTTGGACACACAGAATATTATTTTTATATGCAAATCATAATCTCCATTTTCCTCTGTTCTTTTGTAAGGACACATTGTAAAAAATAGTTAACTTTTTTTTTGTTAAGTTTACTATAAAACAAATTATCACTAAATGATGGCCCTGGTATTAGTACTGAAAATGCCCAGCACAAAACCTGCTGTAACCTAGACAAAGTACCCCAGACCCACTGGCTACTCCCCTCATCAGTGGTTGTCATGGAGATAAAAAGGCTGGACCCAGTGTTCTGACTATAGCGAGTGAAGTGGTATAAGGTTGCAACACTGTCAACAAATTCAATTTTTTAATCAATGCAAATTAACACTGGGTTATATAGACTGTGTCTTAGGGCTCTACCTGTGGACACTAGCTGGGGAAATCTGCTCTAGTTCATGCTGTTCAAGAGGAAAGAACCTTGTGAACTAGAATCATGGACAGATCTCAGAATGAGACACAGCTTCATCCTAGGGGCCAGGAATCTTTCTAAGCATGTGTTAAGCAAAGGACTTGATCTTGCACGTCTTGGCTTTCTCATCTATAAAATAAAGATAGCATCATACTGGAAGCAGAACGAGAGGCTGTGGAAAGTTGTCGGGACATGAGGAAAGCAAAAGGAGCCCCTCATACTGAGTCTCTGACTCTATGGATTTGCCTGTTCTTACCTCTTCTGTTATTTGTAAAAATGTGTGTGTGACCACTGTGTCTGGATTCTTTTATTTACATAAGGTTTTCATGGCTTATTCATGCTATAGTATGTGTTGGAGGTTATTATTGAGTAAATGACATTCTGTTCATTGATAGAAATATGAGTTGTATAAATTTTGGGGCTTACATTTTCAGTCCTTATGAATACATACCTAGAAGCAAAATTGTCCTATATTCTGTGTTCTGTAATAGCTAGGTTACCGTAGGTTAGTCAGGGTGAGTTATTATTGAGAGAGAAACAAAAAATGAGTAATGTATATAAAATATGGTCACAAAATAAACACTCAAGCAGTGTTATTAGATATAAAATCTTACATATATAATAAATACTCAAGAAGTGTGTTATTAGCTGCCACATTTATTGCATTGATCTTACATGAAATGAATTGAAATATAGACACATTCAAAAGAATAAATCAGATTCTCCTGATATGAGCACCTACCTTCAAAACATATATAATGGACAAATAGCAGTGGAGATATATATATATTTTCAAGCTCCAAAAGAAGACATTAGAATCATCTGGAGTCAAACCATGGAAGACAATAAAAATTGACACTGTAGATGTCATGAGGTGACAGGCCAGAGTAAATTCACAGGGCCTAGGAGACAGATATCACGAGATAGGTTCTAAAGTTCCTGGCAGCAAGAAGCTAGGAGGGTTTGTCTCAGCAGAAACTCTCCTGCCCCACCCCCCAGCTGCTGACTGGCATGAAGCAGTGACTTATCCTGGGGCAGAGGAGACAGAGCCTCCAGAGCACAGAGCTGGCAGCTGAATTAGTGCACTGATGTCACTCTTCGGCCTCCTAATCTGTCTCTCCATGTTATGAAACCCTCAAGACAGGGGACAAAGGTAGTATTTATACAGGAACAAGTGAACAGCATGAAAGCCCAGCTACTCAGCCAAAACCAACTCACAACGAATTTTCTAGAATCTGAAACCCAATGAGCACACAGTTATGAGGAGCCCCAGAGATGTGTCCCCAAGAAAAAAACAAAAAAGACCAAGAGGCAAGCCACGAAGCACACAGGTAACAGAGGTCACAGGAGGTGAAACAACACACAGTGGAAAGAGGGTTGTATCAAATTCAAAGGCTGGAAGAAAGCAAGGGGTTCACGGCAGTATGCAAACATTTTGATAAAAAGAATAAGCAAACTTGAAATGGGGCTGATTGACCGGAACTGACCTGAGCTGAACAATTTATTACCAAGCTTTGCTTTCCATACAGTCAGAGAAAAAAATGCCATAAGTAAATACAAACTCTCCAGCAGTAATTTTGAATTATTTTTAAACAATCATGCTAACCAGGTGAGCATGTGTTCATGGCAAGGAGAGGAACACAAGCACAGCAGATGAAAGCAGCGTTGGTAATGTAACGCTTGTGAACTAAAGGGAACCTTGGAAATCCGAGCATGTCAGACACACTTCTACATACAAGGAGCAATGCGTCCATTACCGATCTATACTAAACGCTCAGGTGTGATGCCGAGCATGTCAGACACACTTCTACATACAAGGAGCAATGCGTCCATTACCGATCTATACTAAACGCTCGGGTGTGATGTAAAGATGGTAAGCTGACACAAAAATAAGAGGGATAAAGGTTCTAACTTAGAAGAGTATTCAGGAATGTGTTTAGCTACAAATACCAGACACTCTAAGCCCAAAACTTAAAGTGAAAGTTCTCTCCATGTGTTAAGAATAAAAAATCAAGGGCTATCTCCAAAGCTTATGGATTTCAACAGGCCACTTCTGGTTTTTGCATCCACTGTCATCAGAATGAGGCTTAGAATAAGGTGAATGTTCATGCTTTCTCTTCTTTGTGCAAGGTAGCTACTTCTCTTTGGCATTCAATCTGTATTCCTGCTAAGGAGAAAAGGGGAGATAAAGCAGGGAAGCGTTAGAAAAGCACATGTCCACTGTCTCAAGGAACAATATGGGGTCACATGATCTTTAGTTGCACAATGATCCTATAAAGTAAATGGTTTTTTTAGTTTGACACTCTGGATAAAATTAGGTTCTTTTACAAAGAAAAGGGTGCTAAGAGTTGACAGGGGTGAGGCTGGTTACAAAGCTCAGAGGCAGAACATTGGCTATGGCGCTCGAGGTCCAGGACCCAATTCCTGGCAGAACCTCAGCCTTGTATGATATTCTGGCTACATCAATTGTTAAATATTACAGAAGTTATAGAACAGCCATATGAGTAGGTCTGAGCTTTAAATGAGCACTGAGTTCTGCAAAGCCCTTACTACCTGCAGATAAAACATGAACTAAACATGACTAATTTTCTACTCACTTCAGACAGGTCCCCTTTTCTTCATCTATAATTTCAAGATTTTGTAAAATCTTGTGACCAATTTTATGACACACACTTGATTGTGACTTAAGGACAGTTGCTTAAATGTACATTATAGATTCTATCTAATAATTATGTTTATGTGTTATTGTACATTATATAAACATATAATGTAAATGTTTATACGTTACAGAAATACTGATGTCTAATTAAAGGTAATGTCCCATAGTCTACTTAGAATATTATAGAGTAAAGAATACCTTCTAAATTTGTAAATTTCTGAGTCCTAAATACTCCAAGCCTTATTATTTGAATGGAGTTTTGTTTTGTTTTTTGTTTTGTTTGGTTTTGTTTTGTTTTGTTTTAATGAACTTACAAAGATGACCTCAGTGTAAATAGAGTGCAGCAGAAATCTTAGGGTAACCATGACAACTTTGAATTAGGACAAGAAAAATTAAAACAGCAAGTCTTGAAGTTTTGATTACCGGGAATAAGATTAATGACTGTTTACGATGATAGAAGTCCACATTTGAGTGACTTAAGCCATTTACGTAGGTCAGTCCCTCTGAATGAAAACATCAGGACATTGAGGATATGCACGAGCAAGTCTCCACTCCCGCAAGAAGTGTGATGAAGATCATACCTCATCTCCTGTGAGGACTTGGGTTACTTGTGGTATGTCAGCCAAAAAGGTGTTTATCTTTTGTCTTTTTAATATTCACATTACTTATGCAAGCACCATTGTATGTAAACATTATATAAGATGATTTTAAGGTTCAAAAATAAAATAAGCTAAACCTAATTTCAGCTTTTGTTGTTGTTGTTTTTAATCTTTCTATGTTAGAGCTGAGTGCCAGGGATGCAGGTGATTAAGCCAAAGCATGACATCAATGTGCCTCACATTTAATGTGCATAAGAAGAATGGCAAGGGATGAGGGCCTGTTATTTAAAAACAAGTATTCAGGACTGTGAGATGGCTCAACAGGTGACGGCAATTGCCACCAAGCCTGATGACCTGAGTTTATCCCCTTAGACAAGATACAAGGAGAGACTTCCTCAAGCTACCCTCTGACCTCCACATGTCTGTCGTGGCATGGGCACACTCATACATAAACATACATGGACACACAATAAATAAATTTTAAAATGTAATAAAACACATGAATTCTGATCTAGTTCTCTCATGTTGAAGTCAAAGTTTCTTTTGCCTGTCTCCCACACTTTCAGGTGATTTTGGTGCTGACTGACTGAGCTTGAACCTCAAAAGCCTAAGATGTCTTGAATCCTACATTTTCATAATCCTCTATTTAAAAAAATTCATGTAAAATAACTGTGAGACAGACTATAGAAGCAGAATAATGGTTTTCTCCTGTTAGTCACATATAACTGTGAAGTAGATTGTAGAACAGAATGATTGATGGCTGGCTATGGTTAGTCACTTATGTCCTAGAACATACATGAAGTCCAAGGAGAATGTCATGTGCTTTAGAAATCCAGCCAGTCTGCCAAGATGATGATGAATGGACATAATTGAGACAGGAAAATGAAAAGCTTCAGTTCTGACATGCCCTTTGAATGCACAGGACATATGCCAAGTTTTTACTAAAAGGTAGTTTACGCCCAAGCTTGAGAAAACTTGTATTCTTGTGTCTTAAACCCTCTGCCCCTAGTGCAATTGGGTAATACTGGAATGTTTAGTTAATATCTTGAGTCTGTTTCCTGCAAGGAAACCACATTTTAACCAGGCAAACAAACACAATTTAGGTTAGATAATAAGCCATAAGAAGCAGAGCAAATTGAAGACCACTGTGATGATAAAGAACAAAGGGGGGTTTGGGGCGGCCATCAGCTTCTACAAGACTGTCACATGAGATGCAATCTCTCAGAATCTTTACCCCAGGTCTTACACATAACAAAAGTAATTTTTTCTAAGAATTCTAAAGCTTACTCGCTCTACCAGCAGAAATAGAGAAATGCTGACTGGTTTAAGTGAACATCCCCATGAGTTAGGATGGTATACACTTGTTTATCCACAGTGGTAGCAAACAACTGAATACTTTCTTTCTTGTTAACACCTTCCCTGCCCCTGTGCAGCCAGCCAGTCCCCTCTGTGTTCCTTGTGCAGCTAGGCAACTGGGGATCTGTTTTCAGTCTATAGCTTTTCCCATTTTAGAGTGGACTCAATGGAAATCACATGGATTTGGTCTAGTCTTCATCTAACATGACTTTCGAGATCCACCAGTGCTGGCACATGCATCCCCTTGTACTTCCATACTAAGCCAAACTGAGCGGGAGGCAAAAGAAAATCTTACCCTTGTATGCATGGTTTAGTGTGCTCGGTAAGCATAAAACCAAAGTAGTAGAATAACAGGAAATACTGAAAATCTGAATATTAGGTATGTTAATTGACATATGGCACTGTTTATTTTAAAGATTTGTTTAGCATTTAAACATATTTAATGGACCATAAACCATGATGCTCATCGAGGAACTACTTTCTGGATTTCTTGACTTGCCCACCTGTCTCAATAATTTCTAGCCATAAAAGCAATGAAGGAATTTTAATGTACATATCTTGTACACAAAACTAAAAATATCTATTATATGTCTATTCACAGAAGAAGTGTTTCCCACACTACATTAAGATTATGAGTCCTGCACAAATTCAACATGATCATTGGTCCGGGGAAATAGTAGATGCATGCCCATGAATATGGCAGCCGTACAGGCTCCACTATCAAATTCTTGCTGGAAAACACCGAGGAAAATAAACTTTTATAATATCATTCTATATATTTATTTTAAACAATGTGGTTAAACAATAGATTAAATTTATTGTTGCCTGATTTTTGAAGCCTCTTCCTTGTCCCTTCCTCAATACTGTGTGAGGAAAAGTTCAGCGTCATATTTTAGAGATAATCCCAAGAAGTACAGGCATCTTAGTCAGGGCTACTAGTGCTGTGATGAAACACCACGACCAAAGATGCTCGGGGAGAAAAAGGTTTATTCAACTCATACTTCCTCATGGCAGTTCAACTCCAAAGGAAGTCAGGCAGGGCAGCAATCAAGCAGGGCAGAAACCTGAAGGCAGCAGCTGATGCAGAGGCCATGGAGGAACACTGCGTCCCATTTGACTCTCACGCCTTGTCCAACTCTTGGTTGTTTCCTGTCACCATCCTCTGCCCCAGTCATTCTCCTTCTGTAGTTGGCATCCTTACTAATTTCTGACCTTTCCAGTGCCTCTCCCTCTGTGGGAGAGCCCTGACTATCTTTGCAATGTTCTTTCCTCAGAAAGCTACCTGTATGGATCCTTGCCCAAATCTCTCCTCAAGGAAGACAACCTACGTAATCATTCTAAATTTAATATCCTACCATTTAATATATGTAATCATTTAGTAACATATTTAATCATTTAATGTGGTTCCTTAACTATGTGGCCAGCCTCACTCCGATGATCTTCTGCTCTGGTTTTCCCTCTTTTTGCTTATCTCTTTCTGGTACCCTGTGCAGTGACTTGTTTGCTGTAGCTCACATCTTCCTTGCAGTCATTCAGAATCCATAAGGAAATTGTATCTGTGTGTCCCACCAACTACATCAGATCATACATCATGCAGATGCATGTGGTACATGCATAAGAAGCATCTTGGATCCAGATATGGTGATTGCACACATGAAAGTCCAGCACACAAAAGACTAAGGCAGAGGACTCGCAATTTGCCTTCATAGCATGCTGTTCCTTGAAAACTAAGAGGCTTGAGATATAGATATATACGCCCATATCACTTCTGCATCATTTTTATGTTTCCTTGCCCTTTTGTCTAGAAATCAGAAGCCTGTGGAAGTGGTGTTTTCTTCTTAATTCACTTCTAAATAGTAGTCCTGCTGTTTGCTTGTGAAACAGACAGTAGCGGATGATGTAATATGAACAGACTCTGTTTTGGGCACAGTAGACACTGGGATGCAGGTTTGGGTTGAATTTGTCAAACAGAAGATAGGATCTGCTCTACAGTCAGCACTAGGTCTAGACGCTGCCCTGACACTGTCAACACTGCCTCCACAGACTCACACTGTCGGAAAACATTTGCTCTTCTTCCAACAGTCAAGGTCAGGAGATAAGATCCAAATTAGAAAGCAGAAATTGGTTCCTCTGTCAAACATGGGAAAAGAAAGAACCACAAGCCAAAGAACTGCTTCTAGTGTGGAATTGCTCTTGTAAAAAGAAAATTGGGGATATGATTAAACAATCCTAATACGTAATCCTGCCAGGGAAATCTAAAACACACAGTATAGGACACACCTCAGAGTAGGCCCAGTGGTCAGCTAAGAAGCTGGGGACTCTTGTCTACAATCTGTGCATCCACTATTGGTTCAGAGCTGTTTGTGAGAACATAAACGTAAATTCATGGTGAAATCTTTATTATTTGGATATATCTTCACTGGTACTATAAGGGCTGATTTAAATGAACAGATAATTTCATTTAACTTAGCCAATCTATAAGCAGTCTCATTTCCTAAAACCTAAAGTGATAAGCAATTAAAACTATAAAGAACATATATAGCATGGAGTAGAGAAAATACAAAGTACAGAAAAGTCCTCAGAGAAACTCAGCTTCAGTCCTTACCACTGATACAGGGAGAACAGAGGCTGACTCCACCCCCACACACCAACATTACACTGTTAAAATGTGGGCAGAGCACACCGACAACAAGAGAGATGCTACCAGGCTTTGTTCTTCAAACCAGAAAGTCCAGCACCACATGGTTCATTCCTTCACTTACTCATTTGTCCATCTGTCCATCCCCTTGGTGCCCACCAAAAGGCAGGAAAATGAGTATCACCCAGAGGATAAGAGAAGAATCAGCTCCTGGTGCAGACAAGTCCCAGAAGGCTAGGAGAGTTAGTCAGAGTAAATGTCGCTAAGATGTACAGGGTGAGGAGCAAATGTTCTCTGTTCTTACTCATTCATGAAAACTGAAGTTGATGGCATCGAAGTATGAATGAGGTAGATTACAGAAGTCACTAGAGGCTACAAAAGAACAAACATAGCAGAAGGTGGATAATGGATACCCACACTGGGACGTGGGGTATAGTTCTAATGTATGTAGCACAATAGGAGAACCACATTTTACAAATATTTTACAAACTAGAGAAGTGTAGGAGGAGCTAAGGTGGGAGGAGGAAGAAGAGGAAGAAGAAGAGGAAGAGGAGGAGCTAGGGAGAACAGAGATGTAGGAGCAATGGAGAGCCATGCAGGTATGGAGAACAGTCCTGGGTAACAACTTATATTTAGGTTAGCTAATTGGGAAACACCTCTAATTGTATGGACATATTGTTATTGAATGTTACCAAATATATAAAGCCTTTGATTAATATTTAAGCTTTAGAGTCTCATTTTCTACCAGGCCTGTATGGATGGTGGGATGGTCTGGGCACGGCCCAGCCTTGTGGAGACAGCGTGGAAGATTAGCAGAGCCATCTCCCATGCTGGTCTTGTGGGTGGCAGGGCCGGTGTCTCTGGCCACCTGAGCTGGCGGCTTGAGCTGGTGGCCTGAGCCGAGCAGTGACAAAAATACCCCGCCTGCTTGTGGCCACAGGCCTTGCCTAGTCAGGAATATGGCGGCCCCTTATCGCAAGACAGACCAGGTGCCACCAGTTTAAATATCGCCCACTACAGAGAAGACTTTGAAATATAAAGGAAGTGTCTAGAGTTTATACTACATGTCCTTTAAAAACTAATTAAAGGCTGGAAAAATGAATGAGAAATTAAAAACACTGCTCAAGCTTGAGGACTGGAATTCAGA